CTATTTATTTTCCCGCAGTATATATATATATATATATATATATATATATATATATATATATATATATATATATATATATATATATATATATATATATATATTATATATATATATATTTTAAAGTATGAAAGTTTGTTGTATTTTTAACACGATACTATTAAATTTAAAATGTTTTAGAGAAAGCCTGAATACAACTCATGGAGAGGCTGATAGGTAGATTTTTTAATTAGGGCATTTTTATGTAGGTAATGTTATTGGGCAGCAGCTTCAAGGCTTACCTATTTTTCATAAGTTGTTAGCACAGGGTGGGAGGGGGTTATTTAGAAAATCATACTTTCAGTGCTTGGGTTTTTATTAAATTTTCTATTTTTCTTAACCTATTTTGAAAATTTGGGATCAATTAGTTAAACTTGTTGGATCATGATCAAGATCCAAAAAAGTAGGATCTTGGACTAACAACTTCTCATACTTCATTTATTGAAATAATTATAAATATGTAAGTATAAAAAAAAGCTTCTTGGAAAATATGAAACTTCAGGATTACAAAGAAAAGCCAGAATTCAAAATTTAAGTTTTTGACCAGTCATTCGTTTGACCGAATCGATCCATGGATTTGACTAATATGCTCAGATTAGCCATTTCAAATGAATTTTTTTTTACTTAAATTCACCTAAATATTTGGAGCAAGTAGCTAAAATTTCAAGTGTTTTTACTTTTTACTTAGTCATACTCATTAAATAATTTAAAAATTTTGTCAGCGGGTAATAATCCCCCTCCCTTGTATCTGCAATGGGTTAAGGGGCGGGATGGGTTTTAAATTTTTAATTAATGATTAATTGCCTGATTATTGATATTTTTTTTTATATATCTTTATTTCTTATTATAGAACCACAGAACATCAGTTCCTGATGCAATAATACGAAATCTCAAAGAGCAACTTGCAACAGTTTTTGCCAATTACTCGTGGGCGTGCGTCAGACGAAGTCTTAATCAGAGCGGCCTAGATAGGAAGAAAAAACGAAAGTAATCAGCAATGCAATTGTAATTCTGTAATAATGATAATATGTGAAAAATTTCTTTTATACAGAATGATTTTTTTTTTAATAAGAAATTGTTATTTCAAACTTTAACTTACTTATTATCAGTAATTAAAAAGAAGAATAGACATACTTTCCTTCCAATCAAAATAAAAACCTAACTTCGTATGTTCTTAGTTTGGTTATTAAATTTATAATATTAATTATAAAATAATAAATGTTATGGTTCCTATCATTGGCGTATTAAGACTTTTCAGGGCCCATAGGTCTTTTTAACGTGCCACAGCATAAAAATGAATAAAACAGTAGAAAAAGAAAAAGGTCTGCTTAATAGTTTCGGAATCCCAAAATTTTAGGGCCCTAGCCCCCTCCTCTTTAATCTATCACTGATTCCTATAGAAACCAGTGCTGGATTAAAGGGGAGGGCTACGGCCGTATATATACGAATCTAAAATTTTCCTTCAGCATCCTATAAGAATCCTGTTAATCCTGCAAGATCTTTTAAAATATTCATGTAGATCTTATATTATCTTATAAGAATTCCTTCAAATCCTACAAGATCCTTCAAAAGATTCTTGTAGGTCCTGCAGGGACTTGTGCATCTCATCCTATAGGATTCTTGTAGGATTTGTAAGATCAGTCGTCTAGTGTATACTCAAAAAGTCGTAAACTAGAAATCCAGAGGTGGAAAAAGTTAAAAAAAATTGTACTCAAGTAAAAGTACTGTTACTTGAGTGAAATTTTACTCAATTACAAGTAAAATTTACCGGTCGAAAAGTTTATTCAAATAAAAGTAAAAATTAGCTTTTTAAAAATGTACTCAGAGTAAAAGTTACTGTGTTACCTTTTTTAACAGCCTGTCAGATAACAAAGCTGTCGAATAAAAAAACAAAAATCACATAGTGAATTCATTTCGGTATAAAAATTTTTTTTGCGCAGAAAATTTTTTTTATGGTCGGAAAAAATGAAAAGAAACCAAGCTAAAGCAGTTAAAAGTTGTTATGAGCGTGCTTAACATTTTTTTTTAAACAATTTAAAAGTGTCATTTTTATTAAAATGAGCGAAACTTAAAAAAAAAAAATTAAATCATAGTATTAGTGAAATTAAACAATACATAATTAATTTTTTTACTCAGTAACACATATGATTTCAAATGTAGCGAAGTACAATACTTTAGAAAAAAAATACTTAAGTAAAAGTATATGTACACATTTAAATAAAATTCTTAAAAAGTAGAAATTCTCAAAATAACTACTCAATTAAAATAACGTGAGTAAATGTTATTTGTTACATTCCAACTCTGCCACCATCTAATTGGATAATTTTTTTATTTTCATGTATATTGCAGTTTATGTAAATATAACTTTTATACTTAAAATTTCTTTCATTCTTTTTCAACCTTGCTTAGGGCAAAATCTGGAGTTTTTGTTTAATTCACCTCACTGTGCGTTAAGACTCCCTGAAATATACAAATGAATCTGGAATACTTTTAAATAGAAACAAAATGTGGCATGAAATTATTCTTGTATGTAGGAAAAATGTTTAATTAATTTTAAAATAGCAATAGTACTTACAATAAGAACAATTATATAAAAACACACACAAATTATTTATATTTTAAAACGTTTTAAAAATACAAAATATAACTTCACTTTTTAATTTTTGTTTATAAAAAACAATTAATCTTACAAATTTAATTAAAATTTTTTTCAATATGACTATTTTTCCTAAATAATTTGAAATCGAATACAATTATTACTCATTACAATTATTACCTAACATAAAGTATTTTACCTATACTATGACTAGTATAAAAAGCAATTTAAGTGATATAACAATCAATTATTTTTTTAATATTGACTTTGTTTTAAAATAATATGATAGTGCTAGAAGTTTAACACTTCGAATTTATTTAAAAATTTAACTTGTGGAATAAAAAATAAAGCAAAGAAATTGTGAACCATTTTGTGAATGTGTTTAAGTAAAAAAAATCAAAAAGAAGGACCTTTTAGGATAAATAGAAATAAGCCTATATGAGATTTCGGCATACCCTTAGGGGCCAGCATGCCAACAGTTTTTAATCCATATACTTGCAAATCAAAATTCTTTTAAACATATAAACTTTCTTAAGACATTTTAAGAAAGATGTTTGTATATAGAATAATCAAAAAGAGAATAGAACAAGTATAAACAAAAATAATTTTTGAAGACAATATTCTCAAAATTATCTTTATTTTAAAATTGGAAAAAAAAAGTTTTTTTTTGAGAAAATAAGTAGGACATGGCCCCTGGTGCTTAAGCTTCATGCAATCTCTGATCTGGAATCAATTTTAACACACGTTCATTAGGACTACACAAATGCTGAAAGTTTTAAATCTCCAGTTTGTTTGAAAGGTATAGAAAAATCTTATTGCAAGATTTCGCTAGAAAAAAGTGGAGCACATAACCAATCCCCCTTCCCCCACCATTTCTTTGGCCCTGGAGACAATTTTAACATGCATGTTCATCAGCATTAAAGAAATGTCAAAAGTTTCAGAGTTCCAGCTAGCTTGGAATGTAGTGAAAAATCAGTCGCAATTATCTGCTACAAAAAAGTGGGGACCATACCCAATTATCCATATTCAAAAACCCATATACTTGCAAATCAAAATTTGTTTATTTTCTGAAAGATCAATGAATATAGAATTATGTGTGATATATTTTTTTTGATATCATTAAAGCCACATGATTTTTTTTCAACATTTAAAACAGGTATACAAAAAAAAATTTACATTTCTGATTACTTTATTGAACTCGTCACCCCTGAAAATAGCCAGATACAAAGTTCTAAGTAAAAAGATATTTTATAAGCTATGTTAATTGAAACCTCTAAAAAACACTGTGATTCTAAGGGAACATGAGTGGCCTGGCCAATATTTGCTAAAAAGTAATATGATCATATTTCAAAATCTTCTAGGAGCTAGAAGATAAAACTTTCAAGGAATTATTAATTTAAAAGGTACTCTCAACTGTATAAAAATCAGTAAAAACTGATATATATGGTGACATTTTTAAAAAAATTTTAGGTCAATTGAAATTGAATTACCCCTTAGAACTTTTGATCAATCTCATCTCTTGATTCCACTGATCGCATCCAACCTGATATAGCCAACAAACATGTTGATCATTCTACTACTGATTTGTTAAAGTTAATAACCGATAGGCTTTATCGTACATTAGATAGATGTAGAAAAGTTAGGGCGATTACTCTTGACATTTCTAAAGCCAACTAAAGTCTTCCTTCATAAACTTCACCTTTTCTCTTCCAGTAACTTCCAACTCTATCAGTGACTGTTTGCAGCCTTGTTGGAGGTGACAATATTTAAAAAATAAATGAATAAAAAGTTGTAAAAATTGGTCTAACTTGTTGTATTTGTATTTGTAATGTATTTGATAAAATCTGTGTATTTGTATTTATATTTGATTGAAATGTATTTGTAGCTACTAAATTTAGGTTAACAAATATTTTTGGTAAATACAAAGAGATGGACTGTTTTTTCATATTTTACACTAAATCAATTTAAAAATTTGTTATTGAGGGATATTAGTTAGAAGACTTGTTTTCATTTTTTTATATAGTAAACCATTATATCAGTTTTGTCTTGAAAAAAAAATTTGAATTTTTTCTTAGCCTAAATTACAAATACTTGTAACTGTATTTGGAAAATGCTAATTTATTATATTTGCATTTGAATTTGTATTTAGAAATTTAGAATTGCGCATTTAACATGTTCACGCTGGCGTGTACCACCGGTGATACACACTAGACTGTCTCATTGGACAGCGTGAACCACCAGTGGTACACGCTGCCCTATGAGACTGTCTAGTGTGTACCACCGGTGGTACACGCCGGCGTGAACGTGTTAAATATACTTATTAGCATTTATTATGCTAATAAGTATATTTAAATTTTAGTTTTTATACCTGTCTAGAAATTGTTATCTCATCAAATGCCTCATAACCAACTGGACTTTGATCTTTATCTTTGTTGTCAAAAGTTACAGTGACAGTCGCTTTACTAACCCCAGCTTGCCCACTTTTGTAAATTAAATCTTGTAAGTTTGTAGCACGTACCTAATAATATAATCAAAAACATAATTAACACAGCATAAAATCTAATTTCAGTCTTTTTAAACTAGCAGGAAAATTTAGGATTTTTTTTTTCTTTTTTTTTTTCCTCAAAACAGCAGTGTATTTAAAAAAAAATCATTACCATTGTATACTTTTTTTTTTGCATTTTTAGCTTTATATGATTTACTCTGCTAATTTAAAAGACTGAAATATTATAATTATTTTACAAAATAAAACTGAGTACAAATTCAAACATTAATTATATTTTTAAAAAAATGTATATAAAAAAACTGACATGTGTCAAATTAGTGATTCCAAGTAAAAAACAAATGCTATCTAAAATATTCGATTTTCCACTACCATTAAGCCCAGTTATTGCATTGAACAAAGGATCAAACCCATTGACTTCTGTTCGCTGAGCATATGATTTAAAGCCATCCAAAACAATATTTTTGATATACATGCCTATTATATATGTTTGTTTGTATGTATATATATATATATATATATATATATATATATATATATATATATATATATATATATATATATATATATATATATATGTATATATATATATATATATATATATATATATATATATATATATATATATATATATATATATATATATATATACATTTAAACAATTTAAAATGTATTCTACAAAAAGAGTGCTCAATGTTCTTAAAAGAACAGAGCAATTACAAATTAGTAGAAAATCACTTAGCAAAATTTTTTCTCATTTAACACTGTGTTTCATCAATAAAGACTCATCAGAAATCTTCTGATGAGTCTTTATTGATGATTTCTGATGAGTCTTTATTGATGAAAATTTCTGATGAGTCTTTATTGATGAAACACATTGATGTATGCATGTTTTGCAGTTAAAATAAATTATAACGAAATTAATGCAAAAAAAAATTTGGTATGTTAAAAATGTTTATTTAAAAAAATTATAAATGTAAATTTACACAAATATTAAAAACTAGATTGATAATGGATGTTTACTGTTTGCTAGTTTTATTTTCGAACAACTTGATTTATTTACTTATTTTACTACTTTATTACATTTTATAAAGAATATAACCTTATTATATTCTTTAGATTTAAACGTATAAGCTACATTAACTTTTAATATTTGATTTTTACTATATCACATATTATCGATTATATTACATTTTAAATTCTGAATAAATAAAACTATTGAAATTTTTTTATTGTTTTTTTTAATAAGATTTTTTTAATAAGATTAAAAAATATTGAGCATGTAGTTTTTATTTAGGATATTTATAAAATCTTCTTAAAATAGTTTTGCCTGTATTATTGAAAGTTAATATTATAATGTTAAATTTACACGCTTTTGTGTTGTATTATTTTATTTAAAATTTGAACTTTATTTCAACACAAGAGAAACTTTTGCTTCAACCTAACTGCTACAACTTACAACATTAGATCCCGCCAAATTTTGATTATTTACATTATTGTTATTCAAACCTCCAAGAAAAAAATGGGAAAACGACTAAACGTCGTCAAATCGACGAACGTCATCCATAGTCATAAAATAGTCTGACCAGAAAGAAAAAAAAAGCTTTTGTATATCTGACTATTTGTTTAGAAACCAATTATCTAACTAGTGCTCAAAATTTCTAAAAACATAATGAAAACGCATATAAAAAAATATATGCACATTTATTCTATGTCGAGTACCCCGACAAAAAACCGCGGAAGAGCATTTAACAAGTAAGTTCATGCTCTTTTCCTTACCAATGTCGCTTATTGGGCAGGAGCCGGCGTTGAACTACGGCCCATATGGCTCTTAGCCAGAACTCTAACCATTGCCTCACCACAGCACATTACTTGTTACTTGTTTTGGTTGTTTCATTTTGTACTTTAGAAAAAAAAATTGCTTCACTAATTAAAATTTTTACCATTCTTTGATGATGTCAAAAAAGAATGAAAAAAAATGTTTTGCATTAAATTGATGAAAATCTAGCTCTCTAACTATGCCTCTCACTCTCCTTTATGGGATGCGTATCATGTGTGGTTGATTATACCACTGAAATGATTATAAAGATTATACCACTGAAAACACTGGTTTTCAGTGGTGTAATCATTATAACCATTATAAGGTTTGTTCTTGAAAATTTCACTTAAGCCATATGTAGGAAAAACACACGTAAACAAATTTAATGGCTCGTTTATACATTTATACTTTTCTTATATATTAATATACAAATGCTGATGCAGAACGACGCACTAGTTGCAAAAACTTAAAAAGTAAAGTATTATATTTTTTGCGTTACTTAATAAATTTATTAAGAAATACATTCAATACATACAAAAACTTTTCATTAAATTTGTAACTTGCTCGTTTTGTCTTCCTTCTATATACTAGCATAACCTAATAGTTTGTGTAATAAAATCCTAGTATTGATTCAATAGAAAGAAAAAGTTGATAATAATGTAATCTTGAATCTTTTTTCTTTTTTTATTTTGCAATCTTGTATTAAATAAAATTTTGACAATTATAAATTTAAAAATACTTTCATTTCACTAATGAAAAATGTGGCGTCATATGGGTCATATACCTTTTTTGTCGGAACTAGATTGTCTGATTGAACTAGATTATCCATTGAATTAAAGAAATCTAAATAAGGGCTCCTCCTCCCCTTTTTTTGTTTTAGTGTGATTTTCAGACGGTAAAGAATTGTAAATATATGATCAATATGCAGTTGCCATATATGGCCAACATTAAAATTTCTTGTAGGAATCAACTCTAGTTTACAAGCACTTGTTATTCTAAATGAAATGATGCTGTAAAAATTACAACATAATTATGTTGTAGTTTTTATAGTAACTGTTGGTCAAATTTTGATAATCCTTTTCTACGGTCGAATATCAAAATTTTTATTTTATTTCCTTTAGCAACTGCGGAATTTAAGAAGTCAATAAATACGCTCTCTGAGACTAAAGACCATAATTTTCTCCTAATAGTTTTGTATAAGATTAACATCTAACAAATAAAATAAATCAATTGGCTATTTCTTTACAATGGAAAACCATAGTGGGGACGCTGTTCCCACGCGTCTCCACTCCAATACATCTTTTTACTTTTTCCCTGTTTAGAAGTTGAAACCACTTAATACTTAATTAAAACACACACGGATTGTACATATAAAACGCATGATCTTGTTACGTTTTAGATAATTAAATATCAAACTAGCATTTCACTATTATGGTGAACAGTGCACAGTGAGTTGTTCGCTTTTCAAAAATGTACGGCGATTCTATAGGGGTTGTCAGAATACTCCAAAGAATGTGGCTTTTAATTTATAGTCGAATTTTTGAGGAATATTCTAGGGAATTCGGCACATTTTTTTTTATTTTGTGGTTATTGAGGTGCTACAAGAACCCCAGCGGTCAGCGGTCACAGAGCACCGAAGGAGAACATTTAATTAGGATGTTCTAGCATCCTTTTTTACCAATGTTACTTTTTGGGCTAGAGTCGGCGTCGAACTTTAGACCTCTTGGTTCTGTGCCAGAGTTTAAATCACTGGGCCACGGCTGCATTTAATTCGAGTGACTTTTAGTTTTGAGAACCATTTTAATTTTTTTTTGTTTTAAAAAAGCTATCAATACTTCTTAAGGATTCGCCTTCCCTCATTTTGTTCCCTCATTTTCTTTCATTCAGAGTCACCTCTGAAAGAAAGCACAAATCATTTTTATTTTAAAATGTTTAGAATAGATAATAAAGACTAGTTATTAGATAACTTTTTCCGGAACTACTTAACTGAAATTTTGGAAAAAAATTTTTTAACTATAATAAAAAGTTTAAAGTTTGGTAAAGTTTGGTAAAATTATTTTCAAAAAATAACTTTTACACTTTTAAATTGAGGAGAAAATAATACGGTACCATACAGGCGCGTACTGGTTTCATTTTCTCTACCGGGAAACTGGATATAATTAGGACCGACTTACTATACACAATATACTTACTAATAGCAATGCATTCCATGTATACCTACAGTAATAGCCAGGTTATCTACCCATTTCTTACACTAAGAAAAAACTATACAATTAATATGAACCTAAATAGTAAACCAAATCTACATTTTAATTTAAGTTCTATAAAAATAAATAAATACACAAAAATATTCAGGGCTGGTTAGACCACGCCACCTGGGCAATCTTGATTCGCGCTCTTATTTATCAAATTTTCCCTATATTATATAAGAAGGACCTTTTTTTTTTAGATACCTACATTTCATTTGGCGCCCCTTGGATATCTGCCGCCCAGGACAAGCTGTCCCTCGCGACCCCTATCCTCTCGGCGCCAATGATAATATTAACATAATTATTTTTATTTAAGTGATCTTGATTTCGTATTATAAATTATAAAATGTGAATAGTATGTTAGTATGAATAGTGTAAATAGTATGTTATTAAAAATAGTTCAATACAGAAATAATATACAAATAAATAAAATTGTTCAATAAAATGTTTAAAAGCTAAACTTTCAAGATTCTTAACATTTCGCTACTTTTTTCACAAATTAAGTCGATGAGGTGATCCAGTAAAATACCTGCCAACAATTCTCTTTCACAGTTCATCAAAAACAATGATTCCATATTCTCCTGTGTTAAACAACTTCTTTAACGTGTTTTTATAATTTTAAGTTTCAAAAACGATCGTTCACACGTTACTGAGTTAGAGAAATTGTTAAAAGAAACTTTTATATTTCAAATAATTCATTATAATCTAAAGAATACATATCAAATTCATAAATAACATATGTTACGCATAATAAACAGTTACATTTTTTATTTTTTTATTTGTTACACTTATTATAATAAGGAAATGTTATTATAGTCAGGAAAATGATAATAATTATTACCATTTTCCTGAAAGTATTCAAAATCTTTAAAGTTTGAATCTTCTTGCAAATTGCTTTGGTTTTGGTATACATCATATACATCTCTAATATCAGTTTTGTATATTTGAGGCCAAACAGAAAACAATAATAATTGTTCTCCTAATTTATGTTTATTGATATGAGGTAAAAGTTTACAAACTTTATGAATAACTTCTAAAGGAATTCCATTTTTCGCAATTTTCTTTTCCAAATTCCAGATATGGCAGATTTCTCCAAATCTTCTTGAATCAAATAGTTCAAGATAAAAATAAAGTTTTTTACTGCCCAAAAATCTACATTCTAAGCAAGGCAATCTACATTCTAATTCAAGTATATTATATTCCCATTTGAGTAATAATACTATCCATACCTACGTTAAATATATTTATTTTATAAAAATTTTTGGGAGTATCTTCTTCTCTTATGTTTTATTTAGTACTTGAATTTTCTCCATAACGTTCTGAATTAGTATTTTTTCTCTTTTTTCAAAGTTCTAACTCTATATGAGTATCTGACTCATCTTCCCTAATTATAACAAAATACAAAATACAAAATCAACGAATATTTTTGCTGCTGCACTGACTGGTAAAGTTTCTCTTTGGTTTTCTTTTAAAGACTTTATTGTTCCATCAATTTTTCTCCATGCTTGAATATAACCTAGACCAGATATTTGTAAGTAATCAGATAGAGCATTAGTAAACTTAAATATTTTCAAAAACATCATTGATGTTAGGGTAAACGGTCCAGTGGTCGCCATCTTTTTCCGATCCTTCGCCATTAAAAAATTATTTTCTCAAAAACTATTCAATAGATTATCACAATTTAAATTTATCGTATAGAGGAATAATTGCCGTTTACAACGCACTTGGTTTCACAGACTTTCGATAAAAAATATGGGAACTATGACCCCCAAAAGTAATAAACGGTGAGCACTAGACGAATTTTTATGTTCACCGCTTTTTTTCTGTGCCTTGTTCAAGTGGTCACTACTTCTGGAATTTAAAAAAAAATTGCAAATTTTACACCTATGTAAAACAAAACTATTTAATATTCAAAATATTTAATGTATTGCACATGTACAAAATAAAGAAATATAAAATAAACATCAAAACTGTAAAAATTTGACAGTTTACATCATCATATTAAATGCTTTATTGCAGCGTCTGCAAATTTTAGATCAAGGTACTGTAATAATACAAAACAATAAAAGGGCCTAGGCCTATTCAAAATATTTCCATGTATAATACATGTAGAAAAACGTAGTACTAAAAATAAAAATTTAGGTCAACCTATAAAATGCCTCATCACAGCATTAATCACTGCTTCTGTAAAAACGTATCCTTCGACTCTATGTTTGCTTAGTAACTTTTCTGTGGGTGGAACTATTACAACAATCTCACCCTGTTTCATGTCACTGGTTTCATCGATTCTATCTTTGAAAATTTACAAGCTCCGGTTTGATTTGATATCTGTTTTTTCTTTCAGAAACTCAACTTTAAAGTTCAAGTTTTTCACTTTCCTCATCAACTGAAGTAGAAATTACCTGAGATAAAAGAATTAGTGATATATTTTAAACAGCAAATACTATTAATTTGGCCTACCTAAATTACGGTACTCAGGCCTATATCTAACATATATCTTTTAACAAAATTTTAAACAACCTTTCCAAAAAATAATTGATTAACTTTCTTTTTCATTTCTAGCAAATGACAAGAAATCCAACTTCCAACTCTTGGGTCATTTGTATGAATTGTTTCTCAAACTTTAACAAAATTAGAAATGACATTAGTTCCACTCTCTGTTTCTAACTCTGCATGCTCTTCAATATCTGCTTCCATAAGTTTAACATCAGTGTATACAACAGGAATATCGTTTTCAGATTCTAGAAAAGTATAAACCATTTCATTAGAAAACTGTACATAATTCCTTGTCATGATATGGCCTATATCCCATAAATAGAGTCATACTGCCATAATTATACACCCTATTGAAATAATTATACACCCTATTGAATATTGTCTTATCTGTATGAAATTTAATGATTTTGTTTAAGGTTATAAAAAAAAAATTTAATAAATTTGTTTATATTTTATGTAGTCTGCTGCTTATCTAAGAGTATGCTTATATTGCTTAATATGCTTACCAGAACTTGAACTTGAAGAGCGTTGGAGGTACTACTTAAGTTGACCTGTCCACTTTCCCATCATACTCGACACCCTCAAAAATGACCAAATCAGGAGAGTGTTCTGCTTCAAGTGCAAATTTGCATATTATATAAGCGGTGGTGGTAGAGCTCCATTAGCACCGATGTTAGCTGGAAAGAGAACCGAAACAAATATTTACAACAGAAAGCATGCAGCACCTTATGAAGATTGCAGCAAAGTATAGTGCAATAATAGCAGCAAAGTATAGTGCAATAATAGCAAAAGCATAAAATAGATTAGAATTCAAAATAGTATAATCCTACCTAAGAATGTTAGGCGCTCCTTTTCTTTGCCTGTGCTACCGTAGTGAACGTTTTTAGATCCTTTTTCTGCTAAAACCTTAGTGACTCTTGGGCTGAGGAGGAAACCACTTTTGTGAATGTTAAAATTCCTTTTATCATCAAAAATAACATCAAGCATGTCATTATCAGACAGATAGGAACGTATATCGCTAAATAATTGCTTCACAACTGACTCACTCACGTTTCTTCGAGAAATATTTAGAGACTCATTCTCTGTCATTCTAATCACGATATTTGGATGTCGCTTGAGAAAACCTCTGTACCTGAGGAAATAAAAAAATTGTTGTAGCCTTTTCATCAATATATACTCAAACCTACTAAAGTACATAGCATAATATGAAATGTAAACTAGTTAATAATTAGTATTAATAACATACCATAATTCTCCTGGTACTAAACTGACACCAACTTCAAATTTATAAGGCCGGTCTCCATTGATCTCCTGCTCATTCCTTTCATCTGACAAAAACAATGATACTAGAGAGATGGCTGTTTCCTTTGTTACAGGCACCGCCCATCGCTGGGCGCTGTTAATGTGATTTGCCAATACTTCTTCTTTGGTTAGAAGTGTAGTTGGACCCATTCTTTTCGCCATGGGGCTTTACCAGAAACTTTGTCTTTTAATGTCGTTCGAGAAATGTTATAGAACTTGGCAGTGTTACAAGTACTTCTCAACCCTCTGAAATATAAAAATTTAATCAGTAAAAATCTTTAGCTTTTTATGTTTAAACAAATTTTTTCTGTTAAGGATTAAGGAAAAAAAATACAAATTTTTTTATAAAAAAATCGTGTGTGCGCGGTTGTAACGTTACGACTATAATTTTTTTTAATCACTTATGAAGTTAAGATAGATGTTTATTTTGAGCATAAGTTCAGTACTTTTCGTTTATTAAATTTTGTGCTAGAAGTTTTTTTAGAAGAAATCGGCGACCACTGGTGACAACTGGACCGTTTACCCTAATTTTGTTTCCTAAAGGATCGAGCTAGTAAATTTTTGAGCTGTATTTCTTACGCTATTTGAAAAAATATTTGTAACAGAAATTTTATAAAGTGCAAATACAATTTGTACATATACAAATTGTTTTTTGTCATCATTCTTGGTTCGATTAAATTCGACAACGAGCATCTTATTATATTATTAATTACTATGATTAATGATGAATAAATAGATAATATAGGTACTAATAGCAATTATTTTTCAAAATAAATTATTATGTATTAAACAAAAAAAATCATAATAATACATGCGAAACACGTTATAGACTGGTACGTACTACGTAACAATAATTATTTTATTATATAATATTTATTATATAATATATAATATTAATTAGGTTCACCACACCAAATCTAAAATAATTTTAACATAATAAACCATTTTCGGTTTATTCAAATTATTATTTTAATAGTTTGTACTTCTAAAGAAATGTAAAAAAAAAAGTGATTATGAAATGAAGTTACTGAATTTAACTGAAACTACACGTATCTATTTGGTAGGGGAGCCCAGGTCTTGAAATATTTAAGACGGCCTACCGGGATTTTCCCGGTGTCCCGGTGCACCAGTACGCGCTTAGTGCCATACTTTTTATTAAAGAGATTTTTGTTTTAGTTTTGTAAATGAACAACTAAAACGAAAATCAAATGTAAATGAAACAAAAAAAAGTAAACCTGTTTGTTTTTTCTCTAGCTTATTTATTATTATTGTAAACATTAGAGGACGGATCAAAGCTGGCAACTTTACAACTTTCACTGTATATCTATTTCCTCCTCCTCCCAACATGTGTCCGTTTATTTGTATTTTGCTTATTTAGATGTCCATATTGATATTATATTTCAAAACAAATCTATTTTAATTACATATAAAGTTACTTAATTACGCTGATAATGACTGGAGTACTTAATTACGCTGATAATGACTGGAGTACTTAATTACGCTGATATTGACTGGAGTACTTAATTACGCTGATATTGACTGGAGTACTTAATTACGCTGATATTGACTGGAGTACTTAATTACGCTGATATTGACTGGAGTAGTTTTTCTAAATACAAACTAAAAGCATGTTTTAGGAGTTACAAATAATAATAAAACAAAAAACTCCTTCAAAATTATAAATATTTTTATGTTATACGAGCTAAACATGCAAGACTCAATTACTGGAATTAATTTCAACTATGCCCCTCTTTTTTTTTTTCGATATAAAATAAAACCTAATTTTATACTTATTTTATGCTGCAAAACTTAACAAAAATAATTTAAAATTACGCAATGTACTCCTCGTATCTGGAATAAAATTTAAGCGAAAAGTAGTGATACAACGTGTGCAGAAAATATAATTGCTTTTAAGAACTAATAAAAAAAAAAATTTAAATATACAAATTTCATTGACGATTTTTCAAACAATTTGTTTTTTTTTTTCGTTCCTTATACGGTTTATTTCAGTCCTACGCTTTATTACTAACACGTTTTATTAAATTCATGAGTTTAGAAATACTTTTATTGAAATATGATACTGTAAAGTTATAAGTGTTACAGAGCGGTTCTTTATATTAAAATTCGTTAAATTAACACTTTTATACTAATTAATACTTTTTTAAGTTTTTTTCTCACTAAAATGTAATCAGTTTACTTTTTTATGTATAAAAGTATTTATTGCTACCAAGTTTAATATAAAAGAAGAACAAAAAAAAAAATGCTTCCAACATTTTATTACAAGATAATAAGCAAAATAAAAACAATATATACAATATAAAAGTAAAATATTAAAGACAAAAAGTAAATTCTCCAAAACAATTTATTTGTACTTGCCTCTTTATAAAAACAAGCTTTTAATATGCAATACTTCATGTTACATTATATAATATATAATTTACATTATATATGTATTTTTACTAACTACCTATAGATAGTGAAGAAAACAAGATTTTGAAAAAAATGTTGATCTCTAGATCAACATGTTATACTTGATGCTTAAAAATACATAGCTTGATGCCTGAAAATGCATTATATAATGTCTACAAAGTACTTTTTAAAATTTCTTTAAAAGAAATTCTTTTTATTTTGCAAAATGATGAAAAAAACCTGATAGTAAAATTCTAACCTTCCCGACACACTGCACGAAGATATGCTTCTGCTATAAAGCATTGTGCTAATTAACATAATATAAACAATAAAATAGTTTCCTATAAACTACATTTAAAAATGTAAACTAAAAAAAAATCTATTCTCCAGTTTTTCCAGATTTAAAATAAAAATCAATAGAACGTTTTTGACCATTTTGTTTACCTCTATGTTCATGAAAACAATTTTTACTGTTCATTTTTAATGCATGCTTTGCCCATTCAGGTGCTACTATTATTGGATGTGGGTAGTTTTTACCTAAATCAACTCCACCTGCATTTAACTCAGAAGCAGATAATCTCCAAGGGGTATGACAAATGCCTAATTTTTTCAAAACAGGTAGCCATGTTCTAACATAATCACCTTCTTCGTCATAATCTGCAGCCTGCTTTATTACATTAAACTTTCGATTGCTTCGAGGATCGTTTCCAATTCCAGCTATATAATTCCAATTTCCATAATTTGAACAAACATCTGAATCAATTAGCAGTGACTCAAACCACTCAGCTCCAATTCTCCAATCTAAATTTAAATCTTTAACAAGAAAGCTTGCAACATTTTGTCTTCCTCTATTAGACATCCAGCCAGTAGCTAATAGTTCCTTCATATTAGCATCAACAAATGGAATACCAGTATCTCCATTAGCCCACTTCATAAATAAATTTAAATCCTGTTTCCAGGTCCAAGGACCTTTACCGCCTTTTAATCCACCCTTAAAAAATACTTTATTTCCATGCTTCGAGCAAATAAATTTAAAATAGTCTCTCCAAATAAGTTCAAACACAACCCAATAAGTAGAATCATTTTCCTTGATTTTTTTCTGCTCCTCGAAATCTTTTATTTTATGATAGATCATTCTAGGAGATAAGCTTCCTAGAGCCAGCCATGGACTGAATTTGGTTGAGTAGTCTTTTCCTAATAAACCATTTCTTGTTTCTTTATAAGTAAGTATTGCACTATTTCCCCATAAATATTCATTTAAACGTTTAACAGCATCAACTTCACTACCATTAAATGGAAATACTGATCGAACGTCAATCTCATACTCATTTTTATCAAAACCAAGTTCGTTAAGCAAAGGAACTTCCCCTAAAGGAAAATTTTTTAAATTTGGTAAAGAACTTATTTTGTCTGGTATTGGATTAAGTTTTCTGACAGGACATTTTTCAACACCTTTTCTGAATAAAGTGTACGTATTGGGAATTTGATTTATTTGAAATGGAATATCCTCTATATGATACAATGTAGAACCCCAAAAAGACAATACTTGTATTCCTTTTGAATCACACACCTTAAAAACCGATGCTTCTACGTCAGTTTCTTCTTTCGTTATTTCTTTTTGAAAAACAATTGATGTTACTGGTGCTGTTTGTTCACATTCTAAAATTAATTTTTCAATGGCTTCTTTTGGTCTATGTTTAGAAATAACAAGGTTACTTCCTTTTTTTTGTAAACTGTTTCGTAATCCGGACACAGCATCGAGTATAAGTTTTGCTCTATGTATACCAGTTTTTAAGAATCCGAAATGGTGTGTTAACTTGTAATGGTCAGGGTCAAAACAGTAAAGTGGTAAAACATGTGAGCCGTCTCGACAAGCAAAATTTAAACACTCATTATCATGCAAACGCAGGTCATTACGAATCCAATATATAATAGTTTTCCTGGATGAAAAGCCAGCCATTTTAAAGTCGAAACAAATTATAAAAATCAGTCTATTGAAAAACTTTCAAAATAATTATATAACATAAAACTTCACGTTGTACAGACTTAAGATACGGTATTTAGAAAAACTCAGTGCAAATCTAGAGAGTTTTTATTATAAAAAAATTTAAATTTATTTATTTTAAGAACAATTTGTACTTTATTGAATAATTATTTGAAAAATATCAAGTTATCAAAACGACAAATTATTTTTTTAAATTGATTTTCAATTTAATAAAAATTTTGTTTTTGATTCATTGTCTCCGGTTATCGGCATACTAGAAGCGCATTTTCTTGTAACCAACTTTAAAACTATCGTTTTTCAACAATTTGCAGGCGATTTTGACCTCACTCTTACCTTGTCAACAACTTTTGTTAACAACCTCTAGAGACCCCCATATATATTTATACATATATTCACACATGTATACATATAAACATATACACTTATAAAAATGTCTACAAATCTCTCTAAAGAAACAAAGCTACGAGTGCGGACGAAATAAATGGCAACATAGTCATAGATTGCTTTGAAAACTTAAAATATATTCTTTATAAAGTCTTTTCGGCATCTATACAGCAAGTTGTATTTCCCGACCAATTAAAAATAGCTAAAGTAACTCCTATATACAAAAACGGAAAATAATCAAATATTAGTAATTATCGCCCTATCTCAGTTCTTTCAACTTTCTCAAAAATTTTAGAAAGAATTATATACAATAGAACATACAATTACCTTAATCTAAATAAACTTCTATATAAAAATCTATTCGATTTAAAAAAAAAATTGTTCAACTGAACAAGCCATTACACAGTTCATTCGTGAAATCTCCAATTCATTTGGTAGATCACAATATACATTAGGTATTTTCATTGACCTATCAAAAGCATTCGACACGGTCGATCACAAAATTCTACTTAAAAAACTCAAATTTTAAGGAATTAATGGCAAATTAATAAAATAGTATAAAAGTTACTTGAAAAATAGAAAACAATTTGTTTTCTATGAAGATCGTTTTCAAAATGAAAAATTAGTTCACATGAAATGTGGTGTTCCACAGGGTTCTATTCGAGGCCCACTTTTGTTTTTAGTCTATATAAATAATTGAAATAAAGCTTCTAACCTTATGAGTATCATTTTTGCGGACGGTACTAATTTATTTCTGTCAAACAGTGACATTTATGAGCTTTTTTCAAATATGAATAAAGAACTCAATCAGATCTCCAACTGGTTTATGTGCAACAAGTTAACTTTAAACATTGAAAAAACAAAATGGATCCTTTTCCACTCTCTTGCAAAAAAACGTTTTTTACCAAATAAATTACCTAAATTTTTTATTGATAAAATTGAAATAAAAAAGGAGTCGGTCATAAAATTTTTAGGCATTTACATTGATGAAAATTTTACATGGAAGTATCATATCGACTTTATTTCTACTAAATTGGCTAAAAGTATTGGAATTCTATATAAGGTCAAATACTATGTAAGTAAACAAAATTTCAATCAACTCTACTACTCATTTTTAATTAAATTACTTGTAATTGACTACTTTTATCATTTAACTACTAAATTACTTGTAATTGACTATTTTAATCATTTAATCACTTAAGCCATATACATATCGGACATATGTTATACCTTATACATATTGGACATATGTTATGCACTATGTATATAAAACTTTATGTATATAAATTATATCAGGAACTTATTAGACTACCCAACAATAATCACACTTCCCGACCCCCAGCAACAGTGAACCGAATTGTGTCGCTATAACTGTACTGCACTCGCCAAATAGTGCTTACAAAACTAGCAACAAACATCATAATCTCGCTTATCTTAAAAACATATGTTGTAAAACATATCTTACAAAGTAATTTTAACACCCCACTGCTTAATTTTTGTTTAAAATCTAAAATCCACATAAGAATATAACCACTTAAAGCCACATAGGAATATAATCCCCTAAACGACAACTAATATCAACATGAGGGGTAAAAAAAAAATTTTTTTAATTTTTCAAAAAAATTTTTGAAATACTAACTGAAGCTAAAATTGATTCTTTACTAAAATTAATTCTTCACTAAAGCAATGAAAGTTAAAAATGGGGAGTAAATTGAATAGGGATACTAAAAAGGTATTATTTGTATTATAGTAGAACGAATATGTACACCAAATAGGTATCAATTATTAAATAGAAACTTATGGGTAAAACGAATATTTTTACTAAAACAGTATTAATTATAAAATATATACTGAGGATAAGACCCAACAAATCTATAACTACAGTAGAAAATACAAAATCACAAATTGAAAAAGCAAAATTACATCAAAGGCCTAGAGAGTCAAAGACGTCAAAGTATTAAGAAAGACAAAAAAGAAAAAGAAAATTTAGTAAAGGAAAGAGAATAGAACCCAAATAACAGATGAGACGGGACAAATAAATAGGAAAGATTACGATAAAAAAGAACATAAAAACACTTAAACTAAATAAGACAGAAAATCAAAGTATTTACGAACGACACGACAAATGACACGCAAAACTTTAACATTTAGAACACTACAAACAAAAAGTACAATAATTTATACATACTTACAGAACACTACAACAACACTTACCTAAAATCCAAAACAACACTTATCTAACTTAAACAACTCTAACTTAAACAACATTCACTTAGCTCTTACATATTCACTGAATAATACTCCCCTCTTAAACACCACCTCAATACTGAGCAACTGCCCAAGAATTATATTTTACCTAGCACTCCCTTGCACTTATATAATACATTTCTTCCTTCTCGTAAGATTGTTATGGTCTGATAGGTCTATATAAGTAATAGCTCCCACTGCAAAACAATAGCATACTCTTTTTGTAAGTATTTTTGCGCGTACTTTCCTTATTATATTATATGTTTGTTGTCTCTATTTGTTACAATACTACCGGTGCTGGGCCCAATATGTAAAATAAAAATAGTAAGCTTATAATATTATGTTTTTATAAAACAAATAATTTCATTAAACCATCTAAAAATAAATTAAATGTAAAATAATATTTTTACAAAGCATTTTTTAAAACTTTATTATATAGAAGATAAATTGTGACGAACAGCTGAACCACACCATACAAACTTAATTTAAATATAAACAAGAGCTAAAACAAATATTGCATTATACGTAAAAAACAACCGCAGACAAAACGAGGACCATTACTAGGATCGTACAACTAAAATAAAATAGATTTAATATAATACAAATATTATCAGTATACCGTATTGATTTAAACTAAATAGTATACCGTATTAATGTAAACTAAATAATATACCGTATTAGTTTAGACTAAGTAGTAAAAGAATAAGTACAATTAAACGTATATTTTAATTTGAATATAAAATGAATATAAATCTAGTATATTTAATAGACCATATAAATTGACCTAAGTAGAAACTAAATTTGAAAAGAATTATTCTACCAATAATCGTATAAATTGAACTAAATTTGAAAAGAATTATTCTCTAATAATCATATATATTAAACTATGTTTATAACTACACCATTTATACTCCTGTCTTGACAAAAAGTCTTCTCTTTTCGATCGCCTAGAACAAGCAGCTGATCTTGAATCTGATCTCACTTCAGTAATAGATTGGGGTTCACAGTGGCTTGTGAATTTCAACTCTAAAAAAACCCAATTGCTTACTGCAAACAACTACCGTAATATGGTCAACATTCCTATATTAATGAATGGCAATCCTCTTACTGAGTCCTCCTCTTTACGTCTTCTTGGATTATCGCTTACTACTGACCTTTCATGGAAACTATATATACAATCGATTGCTAAATTAGCTTCTGCTAAGGTTGCTTCTTTTTATCGTGCTCGCCATTTCCTTACTTCTGATTCCATTCTCTACCTCTACAAACCTCTTATTCGTCCCTGTATGGAATACTGTTGTCATATTTGGGCTGGTTCTTCCTGGACTATCTGCTAAGCTTGAACCTCTTTCCCATCGTTGTAAAGTTGCATCTCATTCTCTTTTCTACAGATACTATCATGGTCACTGCTCAAAGGAGTTATCATCTCTAGTTCCATCAACTAAAATTCATTCTCGTTTTACTCGTCATTCAGCTAAGTCTCATTCGTTTACTGTATCTGTCCCTGCATGCTCTAAAAACTTTTATTCATCTAGTTTTTTTCCCCGCACTTCAATCCTTTGGAACTCTCTCCCATCTTCATGTTTTCCTGACTCATACAACCTTCAACTTTTCAAGTCTTCTGTCAACCGTTTCCTTGCTCTATAACTCTGTTCTTTTTTCCCTAGTAACTCCCAACTTAATAGTGGTTGCTTGCAGCCTTGTTGGGAGTGAATGCAAAGAAAAAAAAATATATATATATATATATATAGCTGTATTTAAATACATAAAAATTAGTTTAAATTAGTTAAAACAAATATAAAATTAAGTACTGCATTGAAACATATTTACTAAATATAAGTTAAATATAACACGAACAGCTCTACCTAGCCATGTCAATATTACCTTTTTGAACAAAATTATGAACCACATCAAATCACAAGAAACAATATTATGAACCACATTAGATCACAGAATTCATATAATTTTTAGTTGTACTCAATGTCTATTGAATTAAGTAATTTAGTCATATTATGTTAATTGTGTATTACATTATGCTTACCACAACAACGATGGCAAATGTTAATAATTGTTTTGGTTTTTTATATGTTTATCTTATAAATTCATATAGGTTTGATTAGAGGTTTCATATTTTTTATCTGTAGCTGGAAGTGTTCAGGTTACATTAAAATAAACAAACCTATTGTGGCTATCACTTTTTGAGAATATAAACTAAATTTAAAACAAATATTTCCATCATAAGGATGCACATCTTTATAAGACGAACTCAATAAAACGATCAACTGGACAAAACGGTATGAATTACAATCGAACCTGTACTAAGTTAAATAAAACTGGAATTAAGTAAAAACAAGGAAAATACATTAAATGACACATAGGGCTTTCATGTTTAGGACATTACAAACACAAAACACAAAAACTTGCGAAGCACTGAATCAAAACTTACTTAAATCTAACTTTACCAACATTCACTTAACTCAAACGCAATCACTAAATAATACTGAGTATTATTAAGGGGAGTAACTCCCCTTCTAAACACCACCTCTCAATACTGGACATCTGTCCAAATATTATAATTTATCTAGCACTTCCTTGCACTTATATAAAATATTTCTTACTTCTCTTAAGACTATTACGGCCTGATGGTTCCATATAAGTGGTGGAACTTTAATAGCTTCCACTGCGAAACAATAGCACATTGAGATTCTTTAAACAACACAAGTTTCGGACGCCTTTATAGTTAAGTTAAGTATAAAGACGTCCGAAACTTGTGTTGTTTAAAGAATCTCAATGTAAGTAAAGATGTTACTGCAAAATAATAACAGTTTATGTGATTAGGAAATTATTTGTTTATTTAGTATGAGGTTTAAGTCTAAAATATATTTTTTGAGTTATTGTTTTTTTAAACTTATTTCCAAATAACTTTGAGTAAATTTTTATGTTATTGTCAGTCATTTATTATTTATATCTAATATAAGTAAGGAATTATTGTTTTTAAAATGTTATTTTAATTTATGTGTTTTTAAATTCTTTTTACATCAATCGATCTTTTTGAATCAAAATGATTCAGTTTATTTTATATTTCTCTATATCTAAATGTATATTTTCTCTTAGGAAAAATAATTAGGAATAGGAAAATTAAAAAATATTCTTTATATATTTACATGTTATATAACATTAAAAAAATATATTGTGTTTTATAGTTAGTATATATGTTTATAATGTTGTTTCCATGATTTCAAAGTGGTGTGACTTGGCAAACTTGTAGAGCAATATTTGTCAACCTTACCATTCAAGCAATGTTACTGCTTTAGGTCTAAGTTTTGTCTAGCCTTTAATATAACTATACTAAAAAATACATAACATTATCTTTGATAATTTTTTGCTTAATGTTGTCACCTTTGGCTTTATGTTGGTTAAAAATGATTAATAGGTAGTTTCATTACTAGGACTCACTGCTTTTATTTATTTACTAAAAGTCATTCAAGACATCATTTCACTATAAATACATTTTGTTTATCATGAAATAAAAAGAATTAACAACTACAATTGAGGTATCACAACAGCTTATCTCTATCAGGTACATTGATTTTCAATTCACGTGTTATGTTTTTGTTTGTATTTACTTATTCGTTACATTTTTTAACTTCAGATTTATCATATGGTGTATTTATTTGTTATAGAAGAACAAATCATTTTAAATTTTTATGAATTTTTTAAAAATATTTGCTGGTAATTAGTCCAGTCAACATTTAAAGTTCAATGTTGCATATGCCATTTTTAAGTAGTTTCTAGGCTTTTTTAAATGCTTTTCTTATTCAAGTGGTTTTACAAGCAACTGTAAGGTCTGCAAGTAAATTAGAGCTAAAAAGTTTTTCTGCTTTCAAGGAGAATTATTCTGTTTAATTTGTTTAAATAAAGTAGTCTAAATAAATAAATGTTTGTTTGTTTTTCGTTTTTTACTTATTTGTTTTCAGATTCTTAAGAACTAGGCAACTTAGCGAAGAAAGATTTGTTCTTTTTTTTAGTACAATTAGAAAGAGCTGAAGTGCTTTTTAGTCACTTCAAATCAATTGTTTGTTTGTTTTTTAAATAGAAGGAATAATAATAATAAAAATTTTTAGACAGTTGAACTGTTACTGATTTGAGTAAGTTTAATATTTTGTTTTATTTTTTATTGAATTTATTTTATATTGGATATATTTTATGTATTTAAGATGGAAAGCTGACTGTAATTTGTTCGACAAGTAAGTTTATATACATAAATGTGCCTATATTTCAGTATATTTTATATTTCTCTGTATCTATATAAATATTATCTCACATAAAAAATAAAAAGAATAGAAAAAATTTGAATATATATATATACATACATATATTACTTTAGACTGACATTGCTACTTTTTTTATAAAAGGTTCTGCATTTATTATTTTTGTGCATTAAGATTGTGCCTGAAGGTAAAAATAACTTTGTGCATTGTAGTCTAAATTCTTTGTTAAATTAAAAATAATGTAAAAAAATTTTGTTTTATATTTTTAATGAACAACTTTATATAAACTTATAAAAATATATGAATATCAATAAATCTTAATTTAAAATTCTTTGATTAGAAAAGATCACAATTTGGAAAATTATTTTACTTTCATTTATTCATTTGTAACAGTAGTCACTGTAACAGTAGTATAATCACTGGTAATGTGTTTAATGATAACAGATATATAATATGGGGCTCGAAGATATTTTTAGTGTAAATGGTAATAGGCGACTTGAAATTTCTACTAAATTGTCATATGAAAGAAATAGATCTTGGCGTGATAAAATTAATTATCGTTGAAATATAAGAAATTTTGCTTGATGAACAGAAAACATTTTTGCCAGAATTCAGTGTCAAGCGGTGTTGATGTCTATTATTTGATTTTACATTAGACACTTTAAAATATGAATTTTAAAGTATGAATTTTACTATTTTGAATATTTTAATTTTAAAGTATGAATTTTACTATTTATAGTAACAAATAATAACAGTTTCAATTTTTAATGATTTTAATTTTTTTTTTTTTTTTTTTTTTGTAATCTTAAACATTGTGTTCATTTTTTTTTTAGTTGTCTTTGTCATCACTTGATTATTTTGCTTACTGTTGAAACATGGTTTTAATTTTGTAAATTTAATATAATGTGAAATTTAATTTTAAAATTAATCATTTGTCAACAGTTAAAGAGAAGCTGGAACTTAATTAAGAAATGCTGGAAATTAACTTTTAGTAAGGTAAAAATAATTTTGTTTATTGGTAGCATAAAATCAGTTACTGTTTTTTATTGCATATCTTTTTTACTTTTTTTAACATGCTGCTTTTGAAACACTTCCTCTCTCTCTCTTAGATGAGACTTAAATGACAGTAAGTACAGGGAGAATTGATAAAACTCGTGTAACTACTGAGCTCTTGCGCATTTTCAATACTACAATTGATAATGACTATTTATAAGATATATTTTACGAGTTGCTATTTAAAGATATAATTCTTTAAATTGTTCAACTATAGTTGTCCTTTGGTTGTTCAAATATTGTAATAAAGAAAATCTTTTTAGTTTCAAGTATTTTACTTTAGGGATTGTCCATATATCAAATAATGCGAAATTAAACTTATAGACAAAAGACATCTCAAAAATCGTGTTTCTCTCATAGTCAACTATATGTTGCATGTTCAAAAACTAGAGCATTTAATAGTTTGTTTTTCAAAATTGTTAAACATCCTATCAAGGTGAAAAGTAAACACAAATAGTTTTATACTTTCTATTGTTCTTAATTAATTATCTTTAGATTTTTATTTCGAAAATTTACTGTTAAAGGTTGTGAACATGTGTAACTTTATTTATTATTATTATTTTTTTTTTCCATAGTTTTTGATAAATATATCTGTCATTTAATATTGTTATAAAATGTGTTTATATGTCTTATATAAAGTCATATTTGTTTATAGCTGTATATATGTTTATATTGAGTTGTTTCTATGTTTTCAAAGTGGTGTGACTTGGTATTATGTTGAGCAAGTTTGATAACCTTGCCAGCCAAGCGGTTTACTTATAGCAGAGGTGTTACTTGGCAGCATTTAATGCAAGACAGTGTTACTGCTTTAGAGCTAGGTTGTGTTGTCTAGCCTTTTTATATTATTCTGAAAACACATAATAATGTCTGTTAATATTTAGCGTAATGTGTATGAGAGAGTATGCAACCTTAATCTTTAAATCTAGCGTGCTTTAATGTCCTAAATTTGAAATAATTGAATAACTAATATTGAATATAAAAACAAATATACTTTATTTAAAGTTTAATAAAAAGATAAATATAACTCTAAAATAATTTTTTAATTTTGCCTTTCATATTTTAATTTAGTTTGTTATTTTCACTGGATTTAATTGCTACGTGTTATTGTTGTAATGTTATTGTTGTGATGTCTTGTGTTGATAGACAGCTTGGCTTACCTTCCCGTTGGCGTCTATTGTTAAAAATGAATCATAGGTAGTTTCATTGTTGGAACTTACTGCTTTTATTTATTTACTAAAAACGAAGACAACATTTTGCTAAAAGTGCAATTTAAATCTTAGTTTGATTTTTTTTTGTTAATCCTTTTGTACTTCAAAACATATTTTATAGTTACATTTTTGATAAAAGTTTATATTAACTGCAATTAAAGTAACTATAAATAGGTAAATCGATTTTCAATTTTTATGAAATCAATTTACCTATTTATAGTTACTTATTTTGAAATTTGGTGTTTTTTTTTTGTGTTTTTTTTTTTTGTAATTATGATGTAATTCCATTACTTTTTATTTTAGATTTACGTTATGACACATTTATAAGATTTATAAAAAAAAACCTGATTTCCTTTTATTGTAAGTTTTTGTTAGTTAAAAAGATATAAATATATGCAATTAGTTCAATTTTTTTTTTATATTTTATGCCTAATAATTTGTTGTACGTATCTTAGGGGATCTTTGTAAACGGGGGGTCGTAACTAAAAACCTTTAAAAACATGGAGAATACTGTAGTTTTGCGCATTTGTCAAATATTGATTTACTTATGTTTTATTTACATTTTCAACTAGTTAGTTAGCTTAGTCTGCATTTGCAACACTTTTGAGGAAAGAATAGTTGTTTGTAAATAAAAATGTAAATCATTGTTTTACATTTTTACTATTTTAGTTAAAGAAAAACTTGGTTACTCTTAATAAAAAAAACCCTACTCACCAGGCCACCATTAAAGCAAGAAGAGGGGAGGAACCTCTTTACTTGTGTCAAAATATTTAGGAAATTAAATTTTGAGTAACAAAAGGAATTTTTAGTAAATGATAGCAAATGACCATTTACTAAAAATTAATGAAATAAACAGGCCAAACAAATAATATAGAAATTGTCTATGTTGAACAGACTTAACAAGACCCGGGTCTGGTCATAGTAGGTATTACTAGTGACTTTCCCATGGACTGAATATATAGTTTATACGAGAGATCAGTAGTGAAATATTAAAAAGACGTAGAGGACTTATGCTGAAAAGGAAGTAAGTAGTATATATACGGCCAGCCAACTTCAAACCTTAGCTGACTTCGAACCTACATTTAATTTTACTCATCATACTTTTATTAATCATCATTTATTTTTTGGATGTGTTGAATGTGTACAGAGATGATAAAATTTTTTATTTCACAATTTGAACCTTTGCTTGTAAATATCCTTAGGCAACATGTTAATTTTGTAGTATCTGTAATATCTGTATATGGTATTAGATATATAATTATTCATAATTTCAACCAAATAATTTTAGTCATGGGTCAAATCTCACACCTTTTCATGAAAAACTAGGGAAGCGGCAAATGGAGACGAGAGGAAAGGCCATAAAAAGACAGTGTGGTGAAAGCCTCACTTCAGATAAATGGATTGCTAGGCTCACTGAAGAAAATTAGGCTAAAACCAAGCCGAAAATTGTCATTTCAGGTAAAGGGAAGGGAAAAGACATGAAAAAAAACAACAATGAGTGATGCCGCAGACAAACCAATTTTATGCACAATGTGTGGGGTAAATGTGGATGACTCGAAAGTTTGCAATCTGAATGTTATGTATGACCTCCCAGCTAACACAAAACGTTCAAGTACGTTCGAATTTTTTATGAAAACGTGTAGAAATTACCCCTATTTTGTTTTATAAAAAAATATTAAAGTGATTTTTTGTTAAAATTTTATATCAACAGTTTGCTTAAATATGTAAATAAAAGGAATTATTTTACTATTCTCTTGTTTTTTATTTTATATAGTGGTTTTCAAGGATTTTTTAGAAGTAGTGGATGGATCCAGTATACCCTACCAAGCAACTTTGTTTGATATTATTTTATCCCTTTTGTATTACACTATACGTAACATCTAAAAAAACAAAAATAAAATTTTTTAATTTAATTTGATTCACTTACAAGCTAAGTACCTATTTTTAATTGAATATGGTTTGGGACTTTTATTATTACTTGATGTTAGAGCAAAGTAAAGTAAATGCAAATTTTATACTTTATTACTTAATTTAATATTACATTACTTACATGTGATTGTGCCCATCAAGACATCAGGGTTGCATACTTCATAAAAAGCTTTTGAAAAATTGCATTAATTGACCCTTAAGTCTGAGATGAGGGTCAGTTTTATCTGTCCTTTATATGGTTGGCTGATCTGCTTTGAACAAAACAGCTTTTGTATCACAAAAAAAAAAAAAAAAAAAAAAACATAAATTAAAACATATTAAAATATAATTAAAACATACTTTTAATAAAATATAAAGCTATATAAAATTATATCTTTGTACAGACTTACAAATAAATTAAAACTTACATGAAAAAAAAATATATACATATATATATATATATATATATATATATATATATATATATATATATACATATATATATATATATATATATATATATATATATATATATATATATATATATATATATATATATATATATATATATATATATATATATATATATAGGGGTGATTGATCTTCCCTATATTTAAATATATGCATTCAAATTATAGCTTGTTTATTAATGTATGTTGTTCTCCTTTCAAATTAAAATTTGTAAAAATAAAACTTTTAAATCACATCATTAGTTACTAGTTTGAGCTTAAAAGCCATAAAAAAAATTGTAAACTAAATGTTTTACATATCTATCTGAACTCATAGAACTTCAAAACAAAGCAGAAGATCAACAGATAGTAAGTTTGTTTGTTTTGAAATTTGAACTTTGCTTAGCATAAAGTATTGGATCATATCTGCAACTTGTATTTGGAACAGCAATCTATATTAAACAAAAAGTTGACCATTTTCAGGTGCTTGCTTGACTGAACTTAAAATGATCTTTTATTACTTTATCACAATTGCTATTGGCGTTGAACTAAATTTCCATTTCCAAATTCATATACTTGTTTATAGTAAATGAACAACAACAGAACATATATCTATACATACACAATCTATACATAAACTTTTAATTTTAAGCTTCGTTAAAAGTAGATTTGTTAACTCAACTTGCTATTAAACTGTATACTTTTTATAAACTTTTTTCCTGCCAATTTAGATGGGGAACATTGTCAAAATTGATCAAACCATGTTACGTAAAAAGATACACAAAAATATAATCGAAAACATGATGCATATTTTTCTTTAATTTAAAAATCTTTAGTTTTCTTTTTTGAACACAAAAACTTTAAAACTTTTTGAAAAAAAATGTTCTTCAAAAATACACCAGAATTCACTATGGTATTTTCATTTGTATATACCCTATGTATAATAGGTTGATTTTTAAATTGGCAAAAATATAAACCATCACCAAAGCTTTAGAGATAGCAATTACAATTGTATAAACCTGGATAATATAATGATATTATGATTTTATTATTTATGATATTATAGGTATTTTTATTGTTATTATTTTTATTATTATTACTGTTATTATTATATTATTGTAATTATATGATAGTAAATTTTGAGGAAAATAAATGTTGCTCCTATTGCTTTTATTTGTTGTTGTTGTTTGCATAAAGTTTTTTATCATAGTATAAGCACTAAGATAAAAAAATAAAGATAAAACTCAAAAATGTGCTTGTTATAACTTTACTAGATATTTCATGCATGTTACACTCAAAATTTTGGTTTTAGAAATAATTTCTTAGCCATCCTAACAAAATGACTGGTAAACAAACCAACTATAGTAAACATTTTATGATTTAGTTTTCTTTATTATGAAAATATCTTAACATTCGCGGTTCACTTTGTTATTATGATCACAAATAATATTCTAATATCATGATTTAAATATAAATTGTATAAAAACATTTGTATTATAGTATAATATAATCATGTTTCACAAATTTTGTATTGAGTTACTATTTGATAAAAACATTTTACCTCGCATGACCAATAATTAAATATTCACATAAAACCATTGCATAAAACAAATAAGTGAACAATGCTTTTTGCATCTTAAATACTTAATTATTCGCCAAAAAACAAACATTACGTCACCTAACTTTACGCTATGAAACCGCAAATACCCCCTCTTTTAAATGCTCCGTCCGGTTTTTTACCCAGACTAGATTAAATAGTAGCATCATCAGCAAAAAATGCCTTCTTAGATGTGTGAATTTCTGGGAGATCATTAACATAAATTAAAAACTGTTTTAAAAATATAGAACTTTAATTAGTGTCATTAAAATACTGAAAGTTGTTTGATTGTGTATTATAAGCCTACAAACGCTGCCTAATTTTCTTTGTTTTAAGTAATTTAATTTATTGAAGAAGGTAACGTTGCTGACATCAATTTTTCTTGATCTCTTCCCCCTGCTCCCCTTTGTCAAAAATTGTCAAAAATATTTTTATTTTTAAATCTGACTAGTCAATCCAATTCTCACACTCCACACTGTCACAGCTAAATGGTCGGACATTATTATTTTGCGATAAGTCACATGGTAGGACATTATTATTTTGCGATAGACCACAGCTGTTTTTTTAGCAAAATACTGTTTTCAATTTCAAAACTTTTTCTTTTAAATAACTAGCATAGTATCTTTTAATAAAAAGTTTTATTCTTATAAGTGAAGTTCCAATCTCAATTACTTACCAAAAAAAGGTAAGTAGTTTTTGTTTTTTTGTTTTTGTTAATTTACTTGGCCAACGCTGAGAAGGCCATTACAGACGAGGAGGCTACTTAATTGTGGTTATAACCCTCTCTCAACTCTAAAATTCCGAAAAACGAACCTTGAGGAACAAGGCCGCTAAGCTGAGAAACAAGTTGAGCGCTGTACTACCAGGGACGTGGTGGATATCGAACTTGGAACCTCTCGCTTATGAAACGAGCGCTCTACCAAAACACCTCTACCGTAACATAGCGTAACGTACCGTACGTACCGTAAGGTACCGTAGAGCGCTCTACCAAAACACCACTACCAAAACAACACTACCGTAATTAATAGTACCACTTAAACATAATATATCATCTATGTCATCAATATTGTCAATTTTTTTATTTGAATTTCTAGGCTTAACTTAGGTCATATATACTAGATGGTTTTAGTTCGTAGGAAAAATTTCTCCAAAGTAGTTTTCATTGTTTCTAAAAGTGTGAAATAAGCCCTTTTGAATGATGCAATTTAAAAAAAATTTGCCTACATTAAATTATAGGGGTTCAAACACATGTTATGTTAGGGTATTCTACTTTTGTCGCCATATTGGGTTCATAATAACTCAACATGGTCAATTTTTAAAAAGCTGATTTTTTATCCATGTCATCATATTGTTACGTCGAACCTATAAAAAAATAGGCATGATATGAAAGCTCTAATAAATAATTTATCAAATCCAGGTTTTTAAGATATATTATCATTTTATTGCAAAAGTATGAAACCCAAAAAATACGATTTTAGCAACTGATTGATATTGAAATTTGGGTAAGCCTTACAAAAAAATATCCAAAATAACTAACAATTTGATTTAAAACTTTGGTAACGTCCATGAAACATGTTTAAATACATACTGACAAATTTTTATTTAAGTCTGAGATAGTCGAGTGGGGATGATTTTGGATATTAGACCGTTTGACGTGGAATGACCGTATACCAAGTAAAGTTGCTAGAAATGGTTTATTTACTAACGACTATCAACTAATAACACGCATTATAATAACTAATAATAATAACTAATATAGTATTAACTAAACACTCGTATCGCGAGCTTCCCGCAACTGCTATTAATTATTTTGTCGTTAAAATTGATTCGAAGCGGCGTTTATAGTTTTTAACGACTTATTTCCAAGAACACCTGATATAAGAACACAGCTCACGAAAAACTATCAAGTTCAAGTAAAGTTTTATAATAAAAGTTAAATAATTACACTATGAAATATATAAAAATAAAAAGGCTTCATAAATATTAATACTCATTTTATGCGATGATTGATTGTTTTAAAGATTAAGTTTGAAAGTTCCAATTTAGTGCGAGTTGCTGAAGTGATGTGTAACAATCTTTTTCAACTTCAATATTTTCACGTATTTCCGCTAATTTCCATGCAAGATCAGATTTTGTACCAAGGTAGTTTTCAAATGTTTTAATGTCATTTTCTTTAAGATGTTTTTTGAGTATTAGGTGAATGTGATTACCGCGTCTATACCCTATTTTACGTAAACTTCTGTACCATTCTTCTATTTCGTTTTCTAACATTAGTATTTTTCTGATAATTGCGTTCTAAAATTAAATAAGTTTAAAATGAGCAACTTTGGCTGACAAAAAATTTAAGTATTTATCGTACAATTTACTTATTTTTTGGATTACTTAAAATAATTGATATTTACAAGTGTGAAGTTTAACTTACTAAACTTTTTAATGCGTTTGAATATTACTTACAATAAAGCAATTATATAAAGTTTTTTTTCTTATCCAAATCATGAGTAAATAAATCTTAAAAATATTTTAAACTAAATGGAAAATCTATTTGATTTGTTACAGTGCAAAATTAAAATAAAAAATAATAAAATCTATACTTTTTTAAAACTTCTATCTTCCTCGAGTTCATGAAGTTCAATTTCATAACGATTAACTCTTTGCGTGAGAAATATAACCTTATTCAAAAAATTGTTAATCGATTTTAAAAATTCTTCAACTTTTAAAGTTTCATGTTTGTTAAGACTATTGATAACACTATATCCTATCGCCTCGTTTCTGCTAATTTCATTCCTCGTTTCTGACTCTTGTTGTTGAAGATTAACAATATTATCGCGTTGGCTTTCAATTAGCTTCTTCACCTATAAGCAATAAATTATGATCGATTAATAACATATAATATATAAATATGTATATATATATATATATATGTATATATATATATATATATATATATATATATATATATATATATATATATACGCAATAAATTAGGTTTGATTAATTGTAACAACAATATAATTGTATACATAAATATGAAAGACTAGTTATAAGTAAAATTTTACTTTTTCAACTGCTAATTCGAAGGAGTTGTTTTCAATTTTGTTTTTTTCTCTAAAAAAAAATGTTTAAATAAAATACTTTCTAAATGAGGTTTGTTTGTAGAGACTTGTAAACGTGGCAAAGGGTTGTCCATTGAATACGTCAACAAATTAATGGCAAGGAGGGGGGGGGGTCAAAACTTTTTTGACAATTATTTACACGGGGGAGGGGGAAGGTCATTTAAAGTTTTTTTTTTTTTTGAGTTTTATTGCTTAAATAACAGAAAATTAGGCTGAGTTTGTAGCGTAGTGTCTTTGAGTAGGAGGGGGGGAGAAGGTAATAAAAAGTTGACGTAATTTTATAGGGGGGTCTCTGGAAATTTGACAAATTGTTGATAAGGGGGAGGGGGAGGTTAAAAATTAAAAAAAATTTGTTGACGTAATTAGTGGACAGCCCCCAATATCCAGGCTGTTTAATTGTTTTGTCTAGAAAATATAGTTTCAATTTTTATCACTCGTTAGACTTAGGTTATGTTTAGCATAAGTTAAACCTTAGGACTAATTCTTTACCTAAAAACTAATTAAATTAGCAATATAATATCTAAATTTTTTAACAAAAGGAATGTCGCTAGACTTGAAAAAATCCTAATGAAACTAAATTTAAAAAAAGGTTAAGCAAATATTTAAAACCAAAACTAAATTTTAGTACTTTTAACTTAAAAAAGCAAAAAAAAAATAAAAATAATTTATAATATATAAAGTTATTTCCGCTCTAGACAATAATAATACTTTAAGTTGACGTAGAAGCGAATTAAACCCAGTTTTTAAAACTTAGTTCAGATCGCTTATTATCTATTTTTACTATTATAATAATTATAATTATAAATATTATCATTATTTTTGTTAATATTCGGTGATTGAACTTTTGAATTTATAACAACCCTTCACTAAATAATAATATAGTGCAAACGTCTAATTCGGATTGATATAATTGAGACTATAAAAATTATACCAAACATACCTGACTCTTAGATAAAGGATGAATCGGCTTGATTGTTATAGCTTCTAACTCGGTCTAATTTGAATTCGAAAAAAATTTAGAAATATTATTTGTATAAAAAATATATTTTAAAAAATAAAAAGAGTGACAGTTACATGCAAATGCTGGAAAGTTAAAGTTCTACCTTATTTTTTTGAGAAATGTTTGATATGCTTGTTTTACTGAAACAACTTTGACTCCAGTTTTCGGATGATGTATCAAGTAAATCATGGTTTGTAATATCAACTTTGTTACAATTGGGTGCAGCTAAAACATTAGTTGGAGTTATAGGATTAAGTTTTCCCAACATCGATGGCGAATTGCAACTTTCTAAATGTTTTACTGTTTCATGATTGTTAAAATCGTTGATATCAGAAGGTATACTACTCCATGTAGAGAAATCTTTACTTTCGTTTATTGAGCTACAAGTAAATACAATAATTTACTTAACTATACGCATTATTTAATACAGCTTGTAATTTTTATTTAATCAATTTTTTTTTTTTTTTCTTTTAATCATTTTTTTCACTTCGTCATTATTCATTTAATCATTTTCATTAATTATATTTAAAAAAATTCTCTTTTTAATTCAATTAAAGAAAATGAAACTTGGCAAACTCAGGAAAATATTATAATAATGCTAATCTCGTTTGTATTTATTCTAAATTAATTTTTTATTATAATGTTTAAAACGGTTCACTTACTTTTGTTCTTTTGTTTCTGTTGATCTCACACAACAACATAGGTTTCTTAGAATAGAAATGAATTTCTTTTTGGTGTAAACCATTTTTCCAAAAATAGAAATTTGGTTTTGCGAAAAATGCTTCTTGTAATCACTCGTTACAATTATAATTTGTGATTTTGTTTCTGATTCATTATCTTACCTAGAAACTGGTTAATTTGACGTAATATAAATTTGACGTCGAATTTTACCCTTAAAGATTTTCTCTATGCAACGGCTTGTTTATTTTGAGATTATATTTTTTGTTTGTTTTTGTTTTATTTTGTTATAACTGTATATGATTCTAAGAGGCCAGATGATTATTCAAATAAAATTTGATAATGGTTGACATCCGGATTACTCCTAAGGCAAATAAGGCACATGCCTAAAGGTCAGCAAAAAGTCCAGGTCACAAAAAATTTATTCATAAATTCATATTTATGTTTTTCTTTATTGATGAAATTATCATAATTATTTCAATTATTATACACATTTTGTTCATATATTAATTATACGGTGTCAAAAATTGTAACTAATTCATTTTTTATAAGTGATAATTTTTTTCTTCTAAAATATCGGTTTGAAATATTTCGAATAAAATATTCGAAAAATATTGTTTTTTTTTTTTTATTTTTGAAATTCGATAACATTTGTTTTAAACAGTGGAACTCTTTCGTAAACAATAACAAAGCGTAGTAATAAAATTAATGGTTTCAGCAAATAAATATTCTTTTAGATATAACTACTGTTATAAAATTGTCATCCATTAAATTATTGGTAGGTTTAAAAAAGAATAAAGCATCTCATTTACTGCAGAAAGAACTGGGTATAGCTTTTTTGTTTAACATGCCTTGTTTTAAGTGTTTCTTTCAAAACATATTTGTCACATATTTTTTTTTATTGTTGATATTAATATTATAAAGCTCACTAATATAATATGGATTAGATCCACGAGTCTCAACTATACTGAGTGACTTTCATTTTGACTTTCACTATATATATAATATATATATATATATATATATATATATATATATATATATATATATATATATATATATATATATATATATATATATATATATATATATATATATATATATATATATATATATATATATATATATATATATATATATATATATATGATTTTTTATATATTTATATATATTTATGATTTTTTATCATATATATATATATAACAATATGTTTAATAATTATTATATAACATATCCATTTTACATACTCTACTTAATATTATTTTAATTTATAAATTAGTTCTTCCTATAACATAGAAAACGTATATACACTATAAATGTAGAACTTCAGTTCTGTGACCTAGGGGTATAAGAAGCAGATCATTAATAAGTCAAATAATCAATCCCAGTGAGTAATTTGCATGAATTTTTGAACACCATGCTCCTGAAATAAACAAAAATAAAATCCTTCACTGATAGGAATCTATAATTTTTAATGAATTATGTTGACGCTGTCATCATTATTGTTAGATTTCTATTGTAATTATTATTTTAATTGAACAAAATATAAATTCTGATCTTTCCAAGTTGAGTCTTTGTGTATTTATTGATGGATTACCTTTCTTTAACAGCACGGTGAAATGTTTTTAGGTTATATGTGGGTGCATTCTAGAAATCCCATCATCTTAATTCATAATTGGTGTTTATTCCGGTAGTTCAAAACCAAATTCATCAAATGATTTTCTTCTGGTATACTGCTAGTTTGATTTTAAATTATTATTTCGAATATCAGAATCTATATTATATATAGGTTTTTTATGTTCTTATCATGCAGTTCACAAGAAATCAATTATTTTTAAATCGAATAATTATGCTATTGAATACATAAAAATACCTTTTTAAAGATCACTTTTACGTTTTACTTTTAGATTAATGTCGATACGTAAAGGTGGTTGGGAGCGAGCGAAGGAGTTAGAGAAGAAAATACATGATGAAGATAAACTGTTAAAGAAAATACATAAAATCATTTCATTTTTTACTGTCACGAACAAGGTTGATGCTACTGATAATATTACTCTCAATTCCCCACCATCCTCATGAACATCTCAGCTAGGTATTGATCACAAGGAAGAGGCTGCACAAATTGCATTTGAACTTAGAAATACTCAAAAATTTGAAGTGGTCAGTTATATAATAATGCCAGCATAATGTCTGGTAAATATAATGGCATACAACAAATCCTGAAAAACAAAAACAGTTTAGTGGACTACATTCCTTGTGCTACCCACTCGTTGAACCAAGTTGACCAGTCAGCTATGGATTGTTGCGTTGAAGCAGTTTCATTTTTTAACATATTGAATTGCCTATATACTTTCTTTTTAGCATCAACACATTATTTTGGATGTCATGATAACCCATGTTAAAAACCAACCAGAGTGCCTTGTTCCAAAATACCCATCAGATATCCGGTGGTCTGCTCGAGCTGATGCTGCAAAAGCAGTGTTCAAGGGGTACCACCAAATGCTCTTCAGGAGATCTCAGGGGATTGTAATCAAAATGGTAGCACAAGGTATGAAGCGGGTTCATTGGCCAAACACATGGATACTATTGAAGTTGCCCTATTGTGTGAACTTTGGAATGACATTCTGCAGAGGTTCAACATTAATAGCAAGTTATTGCAAAGTTCTACAATCAATTTAACTCCAGTTATTGGTCTGCCGAAGAGCTTGCATATATTTTTGGATGAATCCCGAGAGAAGTTTGATGATTATAATCAGAAGGCAGGTGATCGCTGTGGCAACAGCACGTATAAATCTGAAAGTCGAAAACAACCAAAACGTAAGACACAAATCAATGATGGAGATGCCGCAGATGCTATGGAAGGGATGTCAAGCCAGCAAAACTTCAAGGTTAATACCTACTATTTCATCATCGATCAGCTGAAAAATACATTAAAGAAACGCATTAAAACTTACTCAATTGTGCTGCAGAGATTTGGAGTTCTGACTGAGTATGGCTCCATGACCGATGAAGATATTGACATTGCTTTTAAAGGAATGGTTACTGTGTACTGTGAAAGACCTTTGTTCTGATTTTCCAACAGAACTTCGACAATTAATGTGCTGGTATAAAAAACAGAGAAACTACGAAGAAGGATCAAGTGCACAGAATCAAGTTGATTCAAGTGCTCAGAAGATGTTTAAAATGTTGCACGATTCTGGTGTATATCAAGCATTTCTAAATACTGATATAGCACTCCGGATCTACTTATGTCTGATGTCAACCAATTGTTCAGGAGAACATTCGTTTTCTCAATTGAAAAGAATTAAAGATGCAAAACGATCAACAATGGCTCAACAGTGTCTTTCTGTACTTTCACTTCTATGCATTGAAAGTGACTTGCTCAACAAAGTCAACTTCAAAGAACTAATTGACAAATTTGCAGTTATAAAAGCGCGAAAATTTTAAATAATGTAGTTTTTGCCTAATAAATATTCTTTTTTAAATTTTACTTTTTTTCTTTTTGTGAGAAAGTCCCTATTATCTGCATTTTCAGGCCACTTATTAAAAAGTGCCTTGGGCCAACAAAGCCTTAATCCGGCACTGGTTGACATTGTTGCCAGTTAATAATATTTTAAAGAGAATTTTCCATTCTTTTTTCAGTTAAAACATTTTTGTTAACATTTATATATATTTTAAAAACATTTATATTTTTTTATTAACATTAATATATTTTCTTTTACAAGTAACGAATAAGTCTAAATTAGTCTTTCCTTTGTATGCAAAAATTAAACTAGTATAAAAATATAAAAACTAAATTTACTTTTGTTATTTACTTATTTTTATTGATTAACTGACCCAAAAGATTAAAGCGATATGTTTCAACGAGTGTATTATATTTTGTATTGCTGCTCTTATGCTTGAAGTTAGTATAAGTAATATGGTTAGCGTTCGTAATTAATATATATTTAACCTTTTTGTTATTTTTTGGGATATGCGCACAAAAAGTCATCAATCAATAATGATAGATATACCTTCAATAAAAATATGAAAATAAGAAGACACTGCATTACCGTAACGTTTGAGACTCTTTAGATTCCCAAAACTGACGCATTGTTGGTTTCCAAAATTCTGTACATTTGTACCTTTGAACCTTTATAAAAATTCATACTTAGACGTGCTTTTGTATATAATATTACGAAACCCAATTTTTTTGTAAATATATAGGTTCATTTATGCATTGTGCATAATCGCAGCAGATTCTTCATTAACTAACTGACTAATCAAATTGGTTATGAAAAAAACTTTTAATCTCTCCATTTAATTTTTTTTTAAATATAATATACCAAATCAAATCAAATATATTGTGAATAAAGTTGTTATATCAAGGATATTTACAAATAGTAATTAGTGCTAATATAAAGTAAACACCTGACTGACTCATTAAAAATAAAAAGGAGATAATAATAATTATAATACATGTAAGAATAATAAAAGTAATAGTAGTGATTAAAGATAAATAAAGTGATTATAAAAAGTATATACTATAATAATAATAATAGTAATAACAACAATAATAGTTATACCAATAATTACAACAACAATAATAACTTAAAAACGATAGCATAAAACTAGTTATAATAACAATAACAACAACAGTAGTAATAATATTCATTATGATAAAAATAAGGCGAATATATATATATATATATATATATATATATATATATATATATATATATATATATATATATATATATATATATATATATATATATATATATATATATATATATATATATATATATATATATATATATAAATATATATATATATATATATATGTATATATATATATGTGTATATATATGTGTTATTTCTATTTCAATTAAACTTTAAATCTATTTATCTTAACTTATCTGTGAAAGTACATGAAATAAAGTTTTTACTTTTTGAGAGTACTTAAAGTAAATCCCTTGAGAAAACATTGCATAGTAAACAAATATGTTATTGTCAAAAATAAAACCTGTTAAAACATTGAGAATAATTTGTTTTTAAATAGTGTTAGGATAAAGTCCTGGGTACAAAAATGTTTCCCAAAAATTTAAACATTTTGCATATTAATATAAGAAGCGTATCAAAAAATTTTGAAAATTTTTGTATAAATATGAAAGATTCTATTAGCTTGATTAGAGTGTCGGAAACTTGGTGTAGCTCTGTTGACATATTTTCTAACGGAAATAATTGTTTACCAGGTTTTGATAAAATTTCTTTTTAGTGGTTTTAAAGGACAAAGGGGTTTTAATAATTGAAATCTTAAACCCGAAAAAAAAAAATTTAATTTTAAGTTGTTGCTATCGCCCATCTTCGGGTAAAATCGGAAATTTTAATATATTTATTAATGATATTTTAAGAAATAGCAAAAAAATTATTCTATTTAATAGGTGACATTAATTTGGATAATTTTTAATACCACACCAATTGTGGAATAAATAAATTTTATAATGATATATTTGAACATGGGACAATTCCTTTAATTATTAAGCCAACAAGAATAACTTCGACTTCAGGTACTTTAATTGACAATATCTTAACAAATAATACTTTTAATAAATCTCTAAAAAAAGGTATGATTTTAAGCGACATCTTAGATCACTTTCCCATTTTTATCTTGATTAACATTACGGCAGAAAAAATATCACAACAGAAAACAAGCTTTTTAAAATGCTTTTTTACCGCAGCAAATTTAAAATCTTTTAATGAACAGTTATGTGTGCTTCGTTGGAATCAAAATAAAGTTTCTACAGACGCTAATCAAATTTATAATGCTTCCTTTAAAACTTGTTATGAAATATATGACATAAATTTCCAAAATAAATATGAAATAAAAAAACCAAGATTTTAATGTCACCATCAATTACAAAAGATCCTCTATATTCAATTACAGAAGATCCTCTAAAATTAAGCACAAATTATATATCAAATTCTTAAAAACCAAAACAAACGAAAGCAAGATTCTTTATGGAAATTATGCCAAAAATTTGAAAGACAAAGCAAAAATTAAAAAAAATTGTACTGCTCAAATTTGCTTGAGATGAACAGACATAATTGTAAACGCACATGGGAAATTTTTAAAAAACTTGCTAGCATGTAAAAAATAAAACCGCGCTCACTGCCAAAAATTATAAAAATTAATGATTAATTTTTCTCTGATCCAACTGTAATAAGTAGTGAATTAAATTTATTTTTTGTTTCTGTTGGCCCTAGTCTTGCAATTAAAATTCCTCTTTTGACTAACAAAATAGTTGAGTATGGTTTTTCGGTCTTCCGTCTTAACATCTCATGAATTATCTTACGAAGATTTTGAAAAATCTTTTAAGATGCTTAAGTGCATTAAATCAGCTGGCCATGATAAAATAAATGGTAATGTTGTCATCGAGACTTATGAACCCCTAAAAGATGTACTATATAAAGTTTTACATTGTTCAATAGAACAGGGCGTTTTTCCTGATTTTCTAAAAATAGCTAAAGTGACTCCGATTTTCAAAGCTGGGAATGCTACCAATGTTTTTAAGTATAGCCCAATTTCTTTTCTTTTTCAATTTTTAGAGAGAATTTTATGTAACGCAATTTATAATCACCATTTTTTAAAAAAAAAAACTATATGTTAATCAATACGGTTTCAAAAAAAATAACTCAACAGAACATGCTATATTCCAAATTTTTTGCAATATTTTTGAATCTTATGAAAGTTCTCAATTCACGTTGGGAGTTTTCATAGATTTATGAAAAGCTTTTGATAAAATTGGTCATAAAAATCTCCTATAAAAACTTGAATATTATGAAAATAAAGGAAATCTTTAAAAGTTATTTAAGCAACCGTAAACAGTTTGTTTAAAGTAATTTAACTGACCCATCCAATCTATTAAATATAACCTGTGGCTTTCACCAGAGTTCTATACTTGGGCCTCTTCTATTTCTTATTTACATCAATAATTTACACAAAGCTTCAAACTTGATTGTTGTCATGTTTGCAGATAACGCTAGCCTCTTTTTATCTGATAACAATATTACAACATTATTTAAAAATATGTTTATCATAATAAACGAGCCGATGACGTCTTTTAATCTTTTCCAATCGGTTCAAAGATGTTGGCAAAATCTTCTAAAAGTTATTATAGTTAGAAAGTGAAAATGCAGAGTGAGTTGCGACTTTCAAGAAAACGTTTAAAATATTTTATTTTTAATGAAAACCAAATAATTTTAATTTAGTTTTTATAAAAATAACAATTTCAACAAGAACTAAAATCATATGAACAAAGGGACTTAAAAACGTTATTTTTGTTTTTTTTATTTTTATTATTTTATTTTTTTTTATATATATTTACCGTTTAAATATTGTTAGAATAGTGAATCGTATAAATTGAATTTACATGACAGGAGCAAAAAGAAGACAACAGTAGTCTTATCATTAAGCCCCTTAGTTAAAACCGTGTTTTACATTTCATTATATAATGTTTTAATACATATACATACATGTTTTACACATTTACACAGGGCCGTGCCGTGGCATGGAGCAATGTAGCAACCGCTCCAGGCGCCTGAGCCACGTAGGCGCCTTTCAAATATTTCACGTTTGTTCATTTACGTCTGAGAATATTATTTTTCTGATATGTAAGCAACTCTTTCTGTTTTTTCCTTTTTTTTTTTACTGATAATAAAGTGTAGTGTAATGAATAATGATATTTTCATAACAAAATGGCGCCTATCAGAAATTTATCTTTATTATTTTTTTTGTAATTAGCGAAAAAAGTTCGAGCTTGAACGTTGAAATTTGGTGTAAAGTTCGAACGTTCGAACATGAACATGTTCGAGCTAGCAGCCCTAGTTATAACAGTATACCTACAATTGTATTTGTAGTTTATATTAGGTTTTAACAAATTTCATTAAATCATAATAATTAAAAACCATGTTTGGAAATAAAAAGAAAAAGTCTGGTTGGGAAAATAAAAAACAAATAGAAACAAAAGAAAATGAACGTAAGAAGCAAGCAATTCTATATTGTTATTAATCGTGCTCATCAAATATAAGCCAAGCTACAAGCAATATTGATGAACCAACAATTAAAAAAATGTGTTTCGATCAAAGTACATTCAACAGCATAAACGAATGCAATATGGATAAATCGTCAAAATTTGATGAATATTCCAAAGCCTCAACATCAAATTTAGATAAGAGTCATGAAGCTGCTATTTCAGATCTTGTCAAAGATCCTACAGAAGTATTTATATCTACTGTAGATGGAAGCGAGCGTACCATTTGTGAAACATCAGAAGATCTCGAAGTTCCACTATTGACAGTGAATGAAGAGGATCCGGCGTATGAAGTGTCATCAGATCCCAGTGAATGGAGACAATTTTTGGTTAAAAAAGGTCCAGTGCAAATAGACAATTTTGCTTTTCCTGTAAACAACAAAGGTAGACAATTTTCACCTTCTTTATACAAT